TGCAGGTTGTGGTCATCCGTTTGTACCTCTATTTAGTAGTCTGAGTAGATGGCTTAGCAGGTGTGGTCGTGGTTTGTACTAGTATAGTTGGAGAAGTTGGTTGCAGGTGGTTGGTCGATGTGTTGATAACTAGTAATTGTAGTTGGATGTGTGGCTGACAGTGTCGTGGTATGGTTGTACTAGTAGAAATTTAGTATGGGAGTAGTGGGCTGCAGGTGTGGTCGTGTTGTAACTAGTAGTAGTTGAAGAAGTGGCTGCAGGTGTGGCCATGGTTGTACTAGTAGTAGTTGGAGTAGTGGCTGTTGTCGAGCTTACACTTGTAGTAGTCGTAGCGGTAGTCGTGGTTGTGGTCGACTTCCTTGTCGCGACACAGGCAGCGGGCGCTGAAGGGTAAAGGCCGTGGGCAGCTACCCCACCAGGGAGATCGTGAAAGTGTCAGTCGGGTGGCTGACGTTGCAGTGACCATGATCTCCCATGCTGTCAACCATTGTTGGTTACCACCGTCAGCAAGCCAACCGGTGGCGAGAACTCGGAGGATACGTTCTGGATTAATGGAAAGACAAGAGGGAATTAAATGTCTGCAGCGTATTACATACAATTACCCATTTCAGATGGGAAAGCTTTAAAGCTCAAAATATTGCCATTTGCGCTCCTATTTACTCAAGCACTTAGTGACTTACCGTGATTTACTAGTAGACCAGATTCGAAAGAAGGCTCCAGGTGGTTCAATGCGCCAGCTTCAGGTTCGAACTCATACCTGTAACGGAGAAGGGATTATAAGCAACCGATCGTGGTATCAGCTTTGTTTGCAGTAGAGAGGCTGATGACAAGAAAGGACAGAGAACTACAAAACTCCTTTACCTTTGATCAAAGGCAGTTGGGACGAGAGCTAAGTATCTGGGTTCAGCCCTGGCGGAACAACTGGGCAGGTTGGAGGCGGCAACTACGCACGTTGCTAGCGTGGTGACTTGTGTCTGCAGTGTCCGAATCACCTAGAGATATCAGGAAAAAGTGTTAAGACGA